GGGTGGGGTGGGGGTGGGGGTGAGGATGGAGACGATCGGAGCCAGGAGTAGGGGACGCAGCGTGGAAGAGGGCTGGGGGATGGACAGCCCAGGCGAGATGTCGCTGGGGCCCCTAACCAACCTGGGTGTGGGAAGTCATTCTGAAGAGGGAGGGCGGGAAGGCCTGGCCCTTTCTCTGTGGTCTCCTTGGGATGGCGGAGTTAAGCTAAGCCTGATTGAAGGGAAGGTGGGCTCCAGGAGGGGAAGTCAGAAAGCGACCGCTGCCCGGGCTGCTGGAGAATTAGCATCTGAATGAGAGAGCGGTCTCTGTCTAAGTTTCCTCGGGTACCACATGCTGTGTCTCACTGTGAAACCGGGCCTTGCATTGTGATTGGTGGATCGTCAGTGGCTGCCCTCATCCTGTGCTCATCCTTGAGTTTCGAAGTATCCAGAATGGTTATTTCAGTATCTATTGTCTCTCGTTCGGGTTTTCTGTACGTGGATGGCCATTTGCCCTGTTCTACATTAACCTTTCAGATTTAGACCCTGGCCTGCAGTCCCTTTAATATATGGCGTTTCAGGACTGCCCCAGGAGTGGCTTCTGCCAGTGTGCTCTGCAGAGGACTTTATTCTCTAGTTCTTAGTCCACAGTGCGACGATGGGATGTGCAGGTAGATGACGTGCTTTGCAAGTCCTTTTGCCGAGTTGAAGGGGTGACAGGCAAAACATTTTTCGAGAACCATTTTCTAATTTTCCTTATGTTTTCTTCTCAGACTAGAGGGCCAGAATATTCTCTGTGGACAGCATGCTGCTCAAACAGCATTTGAAGACGTAAAAGCGTGTATGTGCTTTCATTTTTGAACGAACGAATGAATGAATGAATGAATGAATGAGAGAATGTGCTCTGAGCTGGGCATTGAATCTAATCAACAATGGCCTCCAAATTCCAAGTTTGGCGCAGTCCAACCTGAAGAAAGAAAGCAGATACAAAAAAAAAAATGGGAAAATCTCATCTCCATAAGAACTATTTGAAATATCTCTTTGGAGACTGTTGGTGGCAGAGAACTTAATTACCCCAGGAAGCCTGGGCGTAACTTGTTCAGTGTGAGGACTCTGTGCTGAGGGGTTTTGGGGACATCGTCTTGATGCATTACCCAAGAACCTTAGGGATGGAGAACGAAATAGCGCTCTACTTCAGGCATTTGATAACGGCAGGGCCTGTTCGTCTAGTGCCATCTGTGTGCGTGGCACAGAACTAGGTGTTAGTTTCTAAATCCCTACAGAAATGCCATTTTACAGATAGGACACTGAGGGGGCAGTAACCTGCCCAAGTACACATGGCTAATAACGGCCGGGCTGGGATTCGAACCCACGTCCGTCTGACTCCAAAGCCCATCGTACCCTTTCCACTACACTTTCCTCTCTTTGGCAGTGCTTACTTGCAAAACTTCAGTGTGCAAAATTCTTCTACCTGCTAAGCTTTTCATCAGTCCTTTCTAGTTTCTAATTGTGTAGTCGTAATAGAGTTGGTGACGCTTCCTAGTTCTGTGGGTTTCAGCTCATTAGTATTTGTTTACGTTAATATGTATAGCTAGATGGGGTTTTAACATTTTTGTGGAACTCCGTTTGGGGGAAGAGGGGTAAAATCATTTGGTTTAACATTGCTATTTTAAGGACTCATTCATGGTAGGCATTATAGGGAGCGTGAGATTCAGAGAACGGGCTTTGGGAGTTAGGCGTTATGCGTGGGAGAAGCAGACGACACCTTTTCCTTTGTGTAATAGCTAAATGCTTCTGACGCTGTTCTCGTTCATTTTGTTCGGGGAAGAATTCTCCCTCTCCCATGCCCCCAAGAAACGAGGTGGCTGGAGAAGTGTCCTGGTGACTTCACATGATGTGTATAGAAATCTTCAAATGTCAGTTGTTCTGTGGACTTAAACTTTGCTTCCCCTTGACCTCATGTTGATCAGAGGCAAAGGAAACTCTGTATCCTGTGCTATACGATCTTGTCTTCCTAGTATGATTGGCAGATGGGAGCTGGGAGGCTATCTTAGTACATAGTAGCCCCTTCCTTAGATGGCTAGGTGCTGAGATGAAAGGCCATTATTGTCACCATCCCGTGGGGGTAGGGTTTTTTTTGGAAAGAAGAGCATTTTATGAGTCAAAGGAGGAAGTTTACAAAATGGCAGTGGGTGGTTACACTGTGTCTTAGAAGAATCTACTCAGCATTTTTTTCTTTTTCTATTTGGCCTTTCCGTTGGCTTCTGTAAAAGCCTGCTAGTTAAGGTTCTACTGAACTGTGATGGAAACCTTGAATCATGTGATACAGAAGGGCTTTTGTTCCTTGCAAGATTATCGCACTCCAGCTTTACTGAAATATAATTGACATGTAACATTTTATAAGTTTAAGGTATACAATGTGATGATTCGATACACATATCTATTTCTTGCAGGATTCCGAAAATGTTCTCTAGTAGTTTATCTCGAGTAGTTAATATGTACACATGGTACAGAATTCAAAAGGTATAAGAAAAGATATCCTGTAAAAATTAAGCGTCCCTTCCTCTGCCCTCCAGAAGTTCATCTTCCGGAAAAAAAAAAACCAACCCTCTTTCCGGTTTCTTATTCTTCTAAAGAATAGTCGAGACGATGAAATATCACTTTACATGTATCTCACTCGACTTCAACCCATTGACATTCCTTGGGCTGTGATCCTTGGTGGAGTCGTCACTAATGTAAGTTAGCCAGTTGTTTGGCTTTTGATGATTTTTACTAGACCTGGGTCCCAAAAACTCAACTTCCGGACTTGAGGACCGCAAAGCAAAGATGTATTGAGGACCGTAGGGAGTTCTAGCATGGCTCCCAGGTCCTCGATTCCTGCCCCGAGGGCCTTAAGGACAAAGGAGCGAGACTGCTTCCTTTTATTTCCATCTGCTGATCTGAATTGGCTGGCGGGAAATAAAGTCAGCGCTGATACATGTGGTTGGCCATTTCTATTGAGACTTTGTAGACAAGAGTGAGGACCAGTAAATTAAGCTGCTGTCGCCAGGGGAGACTTCCTGGGCGAGGTGTGGCTTGAGCTGGGATTTGTAGAGGGTTTGGATCGGAAAAGCGGAGGAAGCCATACCTTGGCCGTGTTGACCTCTTGTCCTTACAAGGAGCTTAAATTCACTTTTCAATCGAAAATGTAATACGTGAACATGATAAATTGAAATGATAGAATGAAAACTGTGATTCCCACCCATTGCAGTTGTGTAATCTTATTCACCAAAGTCACTCACTGTTACCGGTCCCTTTTCCTAAATTATTTTATTCATCAGTATAAATATGTACACATATATAGATCCCTTTTCAAACACAGATAGAGGCAAGCTATACATACAGTTCTGTACCTTAATTTTAATGCTTAGTATCTTGGCATACTGGCACATATGTATCTTTCACATTCTTTCCGTAGTTGCGTAGTTTTCCGTGGTACAGGCGAACCCTATTTGTTGAACTAATTACCCGTCGGTGGACATTTATGATTACAAATTAAATAAAGTACAGTGAGAACCCTCGTACACAGCTATTTACATGCAACGTGAAGTCTGTAGGAGACATTCTAAGCAGCAGGGGACTTCTAACCACCACTGCGACGAGGCCGGATGTGGCGTGGGCGTTGACCAGGCGCTGTTTGGAACGGGTTATGGGAGCGTGGTCCTCAGGAGCCGTTTCTTCACTGCACCTGTCCGTGTGGCCCCGACAGGCGGCCCGGAGGCCGGGCGTTGCTATCGTCGCTGTCCTCTCCTTCTTCTTCCCCGTAGACAAACCTACCTATCTTCAAGCTGAAGGAGTCCTGTGTACGACGGCGCTACAGCGACTTTGAGTGGCTGAAGAATGAACTGGAGCGCGACAGTAAGGTAGGGCCGGCTCCCTGGGGGCGGTCTACGCAGGCGCACAGGGCGCGAGACCCGAGCCCGAGCCGTCAGCTCCGCCGGGCAGCGGAGAGGGCGGGCGCTCCCTGCCTGCCCAGCCGCAGGGCACTGGGTCTGGCCGATGGCTTCTGACACTCGGAGGTGCGAAGTTCGGGACGAACGCGGCGTTTGGCGTCTGCCCGCAGATCGTGGTGCCCCCGCTGCCCGGGAAGGCGTTGAAGCGGCAGCTCCCCTTCCGAGGCGACGAAGGCATCTTCGAGGAGTCGTTCATCGAAGAGAGGAGGCAGGGCCTCGAGCAGTTTATCAACAAGTAAGCCAGGTCCCCGGGGGTCCCGTCCGGGTCGTTCTGCGCGCTTCGTCTGTCCCCTGTTAGTGGGTCCCGTGTCATGGGGCCGGCTGGCCGATCAGCCTCTGCGCCTCTGAGCACGGTGCCGATCCTGCAGCTGCGGCGTGGCCGGGTCCCCCACCTGCCCTCTGTCCCGCGCTCCCTACGACGCAGCGCTGAG